AAAATAAATAAATAAACAAGAATCCCCCTCGCCAATGAGAACAGTGTAAGAAGCCTCTGGGACAACATCAATCATATCAACATTCTCAACATTGGGAACCAGAAGAAGAGAGAGCAAGGAAGTGAAAACCCATTTGAAGAAATAATGACGGAAAACTTCCTTCACCTGCCAAATGAAATAGACATATAAGCCCAAGAAGTGCAGAGAGTCCCAAACAAGATGAACCCAAAGAGGCCCATACCAAGGCACATCATAATTAAAATGCCAAAGGTTAAAGATAGAGGAAAACTTAAAAAGCAGTTACTTACCTAAAAAGGAACTATCATAAGACTGTCAGCTGACTTCTCAACAGAAACTTAGCAGGACAGAAGGGAATGGCATGCAATGCATTACTGTACCCAGCAAAGCTCTCATTTAGAATTGAGGGAGAGATAACGAGCTTTCCAAACAAGAAGCTAAAAGAGTTCGTCACCACCAACCAGTATTATATGCAATGTTAAAGGGTCTTCTTTAAGAAGAAGGAAAGAAGATACAAAAAATAGAGAATAAAATGTCAAAAACGACATAGCTATCAACAATGACTTCAAATGTAAATTGATTAAATGCTCCAATCTGAAGACAGGTGGCTGAATAGATAAGAAAACAAGATCTTTACATATACTGCCTATAAGAGACTCACTTCAGATTCAAAGACACACAGTCTGAAAGGAAAGGGATGGAAAAAGATATTTCATGAAAATGTAAACAAACAAACCAGGGAGCAATACTTTTATCAGACAAAATAGACTTTAAAACTAAAGGCTGTAAAAATAGACAAAGAAGGACCACCAATTCCACTTTCAGGTATTTATCCAAAGAAACACAAAACACTAATTTGAAAAGATGTATGCACACCTATGTTCACTGCATTATTTACAACAGCCAATATATGAAAACAACAGACCCATCAACAGATGAATGGATAAAGAAGTGGTGCATGTATACAATGGACTATTTCTCAGCCAGAAAATAAATGAAATTGTGCCACCTGCAACAACATGCTACGTGAAATAAGCCAGACAGCAATAGACAAATACCACATGACTTCACTTATGTGTGGACTCTAAAAAACAAAATAAATAAATAAATAGACATAGACTAAGAGATACAGAGAACAAACTGATGTTTGCTAGATTGGGGGTCGGTGGGAGATGAGGGGCTGGGTGAAGTAGATGAAGGGAATTAAAAAGTACGAATTGGTGGTTATAAAATAGTCACAGGCATGTAAACGGCAGCACAGGGAATACAGTCAATGAGACTGCACTAGTTATTTATGGTGTCAGATGGGTACTAGATTTAGCAGGGTGATCACGGTGTAAGTTATGTAAATGGCTAATAACTATGTTGTTATTGAAACTAATATACCATTGTATGTCAACACTAATCGAAAAGTAAAAAATTATTCTAAAAAAGGTAACTGGCATCTCTGAGCCTGACATTCTTCTTCTGCAAAGTGGGGATAAATTATAACTACCTCATGGGATTGTTAGTCAACTGAGCAAGCGAGTGAATGTAACACATTGTGAAGAGCACCCAGCACACAGTACACACCGGGTGTGTGATCAATAACTGAAAGCATGAGCGCCTTCGAAGGCAGAGCTGCCTTGGTCTTCTGACCTGGACATCACACCCTGGGGCTCAGGACAGTGACCTAAAGTAAGTGCTCAACAGATCATGGTTGAAACAAACTGTTCTGGTATAAAAGGGCTTCTTTAAAACCAGACTGCCAGACCCTCAGGTGACAGACATAGTCAAAATAGCATAGTGAGGTATTTATGCAGGGATGCTCACTGTCACACTGTGTACAAAAACACCTAAGTGTCCATCTACCGCAGGGCGACTGGTTAAAATAATTACGTATATTCATACACTGGGACACTGTGCAGCATTTATAAAGAATAAAGTGGCACGGTATGGGGTAATGTGGAAAGATCTCCAAAATACCTAAGTGTGAAGGGCAAGAATAGAGTGAAATGAACAAGAATACACATGCATATGACATTCATGTGTGAGTTCGCTGAAACTTTGTACTAGAATCTGTAACCGTGGTTACCGACAGGGAGGAAGGGAAGCAACCTGGACTTAAACATGTTTAAGTTCTTTACTACAGGAAGTATTCCATCATGTACACTTATTACTCTTACTTATGAACGGTAAAGTGTCCTGTGTTGTTGCAGTACAGTTTTCCTCTCTGGAACCAGGACAAGCTGAGAGAAAAGCAGTTTGAGCAGGGAAAGCGATGGTGAGCGCCTGGGAAGGGAGTAAAGTGGTTTTACCAGCAAACCTACTGGTTCACGGAGGTGGCCATCTAGGACCAGTCATGTGTGTAAATAAACAGTATCAGGGCCGATGCTGATGGAGAACTTACATGTGTCAGACACCATGCTCAGCCTTTCCAATTAGCATCTCATTTCATCCTACCTATGAGGAGGCATGGTTATTATCCTCATTTTTCCAAAGAGAAGTGGAGATGTGAGCATGAGGCAACTCACAGGAGGGCACAGAGCTCAGCCACTGAGGGGCTGAGAGTCAGACTCAGCAGAACCACAGCGCAGCCAGCGCCTGCACATCCAGCAGACAGCAGCCACCACGAGGGGTGGGCCAGGGGGCGCAAAGGCAGAGGGAGCTCTCAAGAATCTATCCAGCCCCGTTCTTATCACACCACCTGGCGTTTAATAAAAACTGTGTGGTGCTTTCAGCTTATAAGAGTCAACATCATGGACTCCAGTCAGTTCCAAAAATGATGAGCCATCTCGCCTGGTAAGGAAATTATACAGCCAAAAGGTCAAACACTAAAGAACACTGCCGTCAAATGCCTTAAAAATGGAGAAGAAAATTTCAACTCCAAAACAGCTAAGCAACATTCACAGAAAGACCAGGTCGTGAGGTGATCAGATATTTTTTGAAAAACCTTTCTCTGTTGCCACATACCAGCAGGTCATGCTAACAATTTTTCAGTTATATCTAGGATATTCCTTTTGAGGTTTCCAGGAAAGATGTGGGGTGTGGAAGTCACACTGAGCTGGGTTGGTCCCTGGCTCTAGTATTCTGGAACCAGCTGTACAACCTTCCAAAGGCACAGCCTCGGAGGAGGTCCTAGGAGCTACCTGCCCTCAGCATCCCCTCCACAGCGTGGTGGTAACAGCGACCTCTGCCAAGCAGTCAAATTAAATGGGAAAACACAGTGATTCCACCTATGGACCCGCAACAGAAACACCTCAATAAAATGAGTTTATTTTCCCTTTTTTCCAGACCAGTTGTCAAACCCACATGCCTTTCCCTTTCAACTCAACACTCTTTGGCTTTGCACAACCACTCTCTCACCCTTAACCTCTCCAGAAATGTAAATGGATGTTTCTAGTTTTTATTTTAGGGGGCTCTAGCTCCCTAGGAGGGCATAAGGACTGATTTCAGAAAAGGACTATTCCTTGCTGCTAACCAAGGCGGATTCACATTTGCTCTGTCCTCAGCCTTGAATTTTTAACTAGACTCACATCCCTAAGACAGCATGTTGAAGAAGCTCCGGCACTTCTCCCGCCCTCGCCTCACTCCGAGTCCTTAATGAACCCTTCTTGCTTCAGGCTTTCTGAGATTCCTCTCCCAGCCCCAAACCACCAGGAAAGTAAGACAACTGATCATTAGCAATACTCAAAGGAAACATTCCTGAGTTCACAATCAGGGATTTGACAATCATCTAAACACTGTCCAATGTATGCTCACAATTTGGAAATGAGCAGCAGGTACAAAGAATATAAAGGCAGGATCAGCACCCAGACTCACAAAGGCTACTCTCACAGAAAAGCCACAATGTCCCTAACAAAAGTCAGCTTCGTACTTACCCTTTGTTTTTAAGTCTAATCTTGAAAATGCCCCAGTAATTGTCCAATAAATCCAAATGTTCAGAGTTCATAAAGATACACCATAATAATTTGACCAAATTAATTCGACCTAGTTAATAGCATATTATATCCTCCTGTCTCAAACAGTAACACTCAGAAGAGCAATCAAGCTGTAATATTGCTTTCAGAAAATGTAAGTTTAATTTTCCCCCACATTTGGTTTTGACCTTGCAATCTCACTCGTGGTATCTCATCCTATAGACATGATTCCACTTGTGTGAACTGATTTATCTCCACACTATTCAATGTAATAGTATTCTGAAATATTAAAAATATTTATCAAAGGGAGCTAGTTAAATAGTTATAGTATGCCCACACAAAGAGAGCATACAGCCACTTAAAAAACAAGAAGTGCTCTGTTACTGAACTGCAAAGATTGTAAGACACACTGTTGAATAAAGTTGCATGCATGCATTATATACTACCTGTTGTGTAAAACAGGGAAGAAATAAGAACACACACATAAAACACACACATGTATTGCACACACACACATATTTAAATAAAGAAATTTCATAACAGTAATCAGAAACTAAGAACATTAGTCGTAGTATTGGAAGGAAAAAGAAATGAAAATTAGGCAGGTGGTAACCGGTATATGGAAGAGATTAGTTAATGAACATTGTAAATATTTTTCTTTATGAACCATGTAAATGTATTATCTACCTGAAAAACACATTAAAATTAATTAGTGGTAAAAATGGCATTCCATTCCTTTCCGTCGAGATGAAAACAACACTCCCTAAAGGTCCCATTTTGTGACTGATCAAGTCTTCTTCCCCTTCCTGCTAATACCACACATGCCCATATTGATAAACAAAACACACAGATTTAAATTAATAAATTAAATCGGAAAACTTGTAGAAGGAGAAAATACCACAAAAACGAACTACTTTTAAAGAGCTACACAAAGCCTAGTCCACGTATCTTATTATTCACAGCAGGGCGACCTGCAATCTCCTCTGGTGTGCAGACCTCACTAGTGCACACAGCCCTTCTGCCCCGAAGCCCTGGGTCCCCTGGGGGCTGGGGGAGGTGTCCTCGCTGCCGGGGGCAGCTCACCTTCATAGGTGCCGACCTCCAGGAGAGTCCCGCTCTGCTCGAGGTCCAGGAACTCCTTCACAGTCAGGAAGTTGTAGTCCACGCCGGGCACTTCTCCTTCCCTGGGAGAGCGGGTTGTGCCTGCAGCAGACAAGACAAAGGCACAAGAAACCATCACTCAACTAGAACAGGAAGCGCCACATCCAGGTGTAATTAAAATAACCTGTTCAGTCAGCCGGTGTACTGAGACTTCCAGACTGATCTGCCCAGACAGGGACCTGGTGAAGACAACTTCTTTCTAAGAGGAGCGTCCCCACCTCCACCCACCTGCGCCTGGGACTCGCAGACAGGAGCGGAGAGAAGCAGGCACAGCCAGGTAGCCCAGGGAGAGTTCATCCTTTTAAAAATGCAGTGAATGAAGAAGGTGAGCTGGATTCTATACAGAAAGGGTCCATAATCAGCAGCTTTGAGGATTCTGGTAACTACTAAAACGTTATCCACCTTAAGCTCAAAGCCTCCGGGGTTTATATTTTTATCACAGGCCTTGAGATTCTTGTGTTCCTCAGTACATCCGGCAAGTTCCAATGTAATGAGCCCTTTGCAGAAAACGGCACCCACCACATAAACACAACCCTGGGGAAACCCGATTGCCCAGGACCTGCGCCTGGATATCTCCCAGGGACAGAATAATGCGCTGCTCTCCATGTAATTAATATGTTGGGTAAAAAGAGGCCATCCACAGTTCCGACTAGAGGGAAAGGAAACTGCATTTTGCTAAAAAAGTCTCCCCCTGATTTAAGCTGGTTATTCTCACAATTAACAAATAGACCAATGCCTCTTATGAAATAACCATATCGAGCCCCTAGTGCATACGAGTCACCAGCTCAGGTGCTGGCTGTGGGCCTATCATCTTAGTGGAAGCTCAATGAAAGCAACGTGGAGATGTGTGGTTTAGACATAAGCCAGGAAAAGAAAATAAACCAAGATGCAATTATGCAGTGTGTACCAGGAAACCATATTAAATATTATGGAAAACCAAAAAAAGCAAATCACATGATTTAGGCTCCCACCTTCAAGTTAGGGGATGTAGCTGACATAGCTCATTTTGAAAGGCACTGTCACCCACACTGCTTAGCAGACCAGTGTTTTCCTATACCATGAGCAGGATTATCCCCTAGTCCTAGGAATGTGAAAACCACTAAATAACCAACTGCATGCACCTGGTGGCTCGCATGTTCCCAGCACAGTGCATTCTCTGATCACATGTGACTGACCATATCCACACGCCTACAGTGCTATCCAGAATGTCCTTCAGTTAAAAAAACCAACATGTCTGCCTATTTTACTCAAGATAAGTGCATTTTTATATGAGCCCACTTTTCCTAATATCTGAAATCCGAGTGTTTTAATACTGCGAATTTTCCATAGGATGATTATATTACAAATCTTTGCTTATCACCCAGCATGCTGCGCTGTCTGGTAGAGCAGCCTGCTTGTGGAGTGTCCAGAAGTCCACTCTTGTACTGTTTCCTAGTTGGTTCCATTTCTGGCTCCCCTGGCATACAATGACAATCCCTTGAGGGAGCTCACAACTTTTCAATGTATATCTCATGTCAGGCCCACAGCAGGCACCCAGAAACACCAAGAATATCACATGGTGTTGACAAGCAGGGGTCTGGAGTGAGCAATGGGCTCATGGTCTAGCTCCCCAGGTTGTGGTGTTGGGCAAGTTCCTTAGCTTCTGTTATTTTTCAGTTTCTTCATCCACAAAGTGGTGATCACAATAGTACCCCCACCATAGGTGTATTGTGTTTACTGCATGGGATGATCCTTTTAGAGGACTTAGCTCAATGATCATTAGCAGATATTATAGTTTATAAACAATAATATAGTTATTGTTACTATGAAATGAGTTAATAAAATCTTAGAGTTCAAATGATTTATACATTTACCATTATATAGATTCTTACATTCCATTTATTAATTAAACTAGAGGCCCAGTGCACAAATTCATGCACCAGTGGCTCGTGGGGTCCTTGGCTCCTGCTCCCTTGCATTCACCCATGATTCCTCCATAGCCATGTGGGCCTGTAGGCAATGGGCTGATGGACCGCAGCAGGGAGCACAGCTAAGCTAGTCTGATGCAGGATGGACACTGCTCCGATACGGAACAGAAACTCTGGACACAACGTTGATTTTATCCTTACTGAAGCCCCAGCTGCACTCTTCTTTTTTTTAAAAAAAATTAATTAATTAATTAATTATTTTTATTTTTATTTTTTTTATTGCTTAAAGTATTACAAAGGGTATTACATATGTCTCCTTTTTCCCCCCACCCTTGACAATCCCCTGGCCTCCCCTACCCCCCCCGTATCTTATGTCCATTGGTTATGCTTATATGCATGCATATAAGTCCTTCAGTTGATCTCTTACCCCCACCTCCTGCCCCCCTACCCTCCCCGGCCTTCCCGCTGCAGTTTGACAGTCTGTTTGAGGCAGCTCTGCCTCTGTATCTATTTTTGTTCATAAGTTTATAATGGTCTTTATTATTCATGAATGAGCGAGATCATGTGGTATTTTTCCTTCATTGACTGGCTTATTTCACTTAGCATAATGCTCTCAGTTCCATCCATGCCGTTGCAAATGGTAAGAGTTCCTTCTTTTTTACAGCAGCATAGTATTCCATTGTGTAGATGTACCACAGTTTTCTAATCCATTCATCTACTGATGGGCACTTAGGCTGTTTCCAGATCTTAGCTATGGTGAATTGTGCTGCTATGAACATATGGGTGCATATATCCTTTCTGATTGGTGTTTCTGGTTTCTTGGGATATATTCCTAGAAGTGGGATCACAGGGTCAAATGGGAGTTCCATTTTTAGTTTTTTGAGGAAGCTCCATACTGTCTTCCATAGTGGCTGCACCAGTTTGCATTCCCACCAGCAGTGCACGAGCGCACTCTTCTATGACTGGACAAAGGGAAATGGGATTTTGGAAACTCGGGGATTAAATCTACGCAAATAAAAATCACTCATCCTGCCGTGCGAGTCTTGGAAAATTCTTTCCTCAGAATATTGCAAGAATTCCCCTCCCCTGAGCAACAGGTTGGGAGGGCCCCTGCCCCCCACACTTCCACCAGCAACAGATGAAGTGTGTAAGAAAAACAGAATAAAGACCAGCATCTAATTTTTTGACCTGGGCGAATGGGTGGTGCCATTAATGGAAATCAAGAAGATGGGGAAATGATTTTTAGGGAAAAAGAATTTAAGCGTTTACTCTTAGATAAAGTTGGAGATGCTTATTAGACACCTAGGTGGAGAGTGTGGACAGTTGGTTATATAAACCTCAATATCAGACTGAAGGTCGGGACAGAAACTTGGGAGTGATACTGAAAGGCAAGAGACCGAAAGAGCTAATCTAGGGAGAGAGTGTGAGACGAAGAAGCCGAGAAGCCTGGGTTGAGCACGAGCACCCTGTGACGTAGTAACTGGGAGAGAAGCACGGTCCTCAGTGGGGACTACGAGGCAGCAGTCAGCACAGGATGAGGGTGCGATGTTGGAGCCAAGAGAAAGTTGCTCAGCCAGCTACTTGGAAAACACGAACAGCCGACATCATCGTGGGAAATTCCAGGCAGCGTAAGAATAGAATCTCTTTGAAACTTGCTGTGAAAGGATCTGTCCCAAATATGTTCTGTATGTTGCCATTAATTTAAGCCATCCGCCCACCCCACCCCCACCCAAGATGAGCATAAATAAAACCAAACAAAAGATTCCTTGGATTTTTAAAGTCTCCCCAACCCAGACAATGTGGTGGTTGTTTTTCCTCCTGCAGCTCTCTTATCTTTGCCATTTCTTTCAACCATGTTTTCAGAGACAACTTGTCAGATTTACGTTAAAGACAACAATCACCCATGGGTCTTCATTTCCTGAAAGGACTCAAAAATGACAAACTTGACAAATGCCACATTTTAGAGGAAAAATGAAACTAGCAGGTTCCCTTTCCCTCATGTAAATAAATATGCTGAGCCAGAGGGAGGGAGTGCACGGTGGGGCAGTCTCCACCCACAAAACCTTCAGGGTTTATCACCCAGACAAAACCTTCCCACTCTGCCGGCAGCAGGAGGTGTCCTCCCTGTCACCCCCTGAGTAACCGCCTGGGTCTGGGCCAGCAGGACCAGGCCCCATTCAGTGACGCGGGAGAAAGGGCGGGCAGGGACTCCGCCTCCTCTTTTCTTCCAGCAGAATGACAGGCTGCTGCTGGACACACGCCTGGCAGATGGCATTTCAAAGGGTTTTCGGGAGCCATCTGGGGTGGGTACAATTATTGCAAACCATGCTTCTAACAAAGCCAGAAGGGTTACTTCCTGGCAGGAGAGAAGTAAAACAAATTCTATCATGTTTCTCAGGGACAGCATATTTAAAAAAAAAAAAATCACCAGGCTGACAAACGGGTTTTCTGCGGCCTACAACACTGCCTTCTGCTCATCTAGCTAGACACCGGCCCAATGGTATCTGGTTGTTATTAGCTTTAAATAAACACAGTGCCCACCTCCCACTTGCAAAAGCAGAAAGACTACCGAGCACTAGGAAAAGAACTTCCCTTTATTGGATGCTTCCTCATGTCTCAGGCGAGGTGGTAGCAATGAATCAGGTCTATTGTATCAAATCTTCACAAGACAGACAGAATACAAGGTAAGGGTTCCTTTATGCTCCTTGTACCGGTGAGGAAGCCGAGAGTCAGAGGAGTCCCCTGCCCAAGGTCACAGGACAAGAGGCTGGGCAGCATGATGACCTGAGCGCAGACATTCCGACTGTGGCTTCCCTCATTCCAAACCATCGCTGCCCAGTGGGACTTTCCGCCACAATAGCAACGGTCCCTGTCTGCGCCTCTAACATGGCAGCCGCTAGCCACACGTGGCCATGGGTAAGTGCCAGTGTGACCGTGGACCTGAACTTTAAGAACTTTACATCTAAAGAGCACACGTGGCCAGGGGCAACCGGGTTGGCCAGCACAGCTCGAAACCCTAAGAGCATCTGGGCTGCCCGCACTGCACTGTGTCTGGTCCGTTGCCGCCAAAGCGTTTCGCTCTCAGAATAACAGCAAGGACCACACTTGCATTACACAGCAGACATCTCCTACGCA